GAGAGAGAGAAAGGCGGGAGTTCGCGCGCCCTTCGTTAAGTCGTGACACGACAGAGCAACCGGCAGTCGTTCATGCCGGCGATCCCGTCACCTCGACGGTCGTCACGATTCCACCAAGGCCCTTTGACGATCAGACAGGAAAAAGATCGGAGAGCGAGGAGGCGAAGCCATGTGAGAGGAAACTCGAAAACACTCGGCCATTGATGTAACGAACGTGACCGCCGCGCCTCCGACACTATTATTCGCACCTCGAGAAAGGCACGAGTGCCGTCCCACGCGTCCGCAGCTCCGGTCGCGATAAATCGACGTTAAGTCGAAATTACGATCGTATCGGTCGGTCGGTAGCGACGGTGCGTGCCCGAGCAAACCGTGCGGAGCTTATAAGTCCCGTTCGGGGGCACCATCTGGACCGGCTGGACGATCGCGCGTCGCGGCAGCGTACACGTACGCTCTTGTATTGATGATAATTGCGCGCCGACGAGACCATTCGTCCGCTTTTTCTTTTCACGTGAGCTCCGTTGCCCCTCGGACGGCGGATGTGCCGTATTCCGTTTTATTTTGCGCGACACGAGCGAGCGAGATTGGCTGTGAGCCAATCGTCGTAATGTAGTAATCTCTTGAAAAATTGCTAAATGATAGTACCTTTTTTTTCGCTGCATATATTTTTTCGTTGGAAAATACTTTCAGGAAATCTTTTGTATAATTAAACTTTCAAATAATAATTATTATTTCATCGTGTTTCGATTTTTGGAAATATTTCTTGGTTTATTATAAAAATTATATTATTAATTTAATATTGATTAATAATAAAAATTTATTATCTTATAAAAGCTTTGAGACATAATACTTTTAAAACAAGTTTTTTACGTTTGAAACATTAAAAAGAAAACTTTCTCATACCCTTCGGCAGTTTATAAAGATATTTATCATAAAGTTATTTTGCAACTTTTCACTCGGTGCTTTGCATTTTCTATCTCCCTCGTGTCTTTTATTAATTATATGATTTACATATTCCAGCATGTATTTTACGTGAATGCTTATTATTCGTAATTATTTATCACTTTTAAAAACATTTATTTCAGGAAATTATATTTTGATGATTATCTTGTATACATTAGATAATATGGAACATAAAACATTAGATTAGAATCTAGTTAGCAAATGACAGTTAATATTGTGACTAAGAGAGAAAATGAATGTTTAATTAAAATTATGCCTATATTGCTCGTTTATGGAATTTATTTATCTCAATAGACTGATCGCGTATCAATTTTGCGATATATGATACTCGTAATATAAATCAAGTATAGATTTGGTATATACATCACATATTTGTCAAACTTATAGTCTAATTAATAAACATGACCGGCGATATGTTTTATGGCAATAAGTGTCGCTATGTGATTTTACAAACTCGTGAGATAAAGTTCAAGCCTTTCTCGCTCAATCATTTCGACACAGTTGTTCCATAAACTATACCTGCGGAATACTGTGTATATGTAGTGTGACATTTTTTTGATTGGGAACAAGTTTGAACGACAGTCGTGAAAATTGTTTTCACACTTTTTAATAAAAAAAAAAACTTATTTGAGATAAATAACATATGCTGTCCTTAATTGCAGATATTCCTTGGCTTCTTTAAATTCAAATGGACACGAAATTGTTTAGAAATTGTGAGAAAATCTGTCAACACAAAGCTGTGTTATATTGGCCGAATAATTCGGAGATAAACCTTCTTTTTTTTAGTGTTTAAAAACACTCTCTTATGCGCTTACGTCGCACGCATGTCGTGTATAGTGTCACTTATGCTAATTCCAAAACCTTTTGAATCCCGGGGTAGGGTTCCGCGAGGGTACGAATTGTTCCTACGGATCTTCGTGTCAGCGTCTCGTCACTGTCACGAGGGATTAAAATCCGGTTTTCGATTCATGCTGCACCCTGCCAATGAAAATAATAACGCTGAGCGCGCGCGTGTGCGCGCGCGCGCTCGACGTGCTTGGCGCGCACATGCGGCGAGCGCATTGTAGGCCGCACCGCGATACTCGTCATCGGTCGAATGACGCGCGCACTTTCGTTCGCTTTGTGTCGCCAGTTTGCCATAGCACAAATACACGGCGCTTGCCGCATCACTGTCGATTTAATTGCAATTTCCCTACGCGAGCGAAAATTGCCCGCCCGGATCCACATTCGTGCCCTCAGGGATAGAAATGACGCTTCTTCCCTCAAGCCGAAAGCGCGTTACCGCCCGCTTCACTAGTACGCCCTTTTGCGTGATAAACGGATATTAACGTTTCAAACATCGAAGAGCGTAAAATGTGTATTTTAGTATCGCTATTTACAGTGTACACATATAATTATACATCGTGTATACTTAATATATCTATTAACATGTTTAGTCGGAATGTTAACATAACTTGATTACCGACATTGGTATAAACATTGACGTATACACACACATTATACGTAAAAGTTCTACCGGTGTTGTATACAATAATGAATAAAATATGAAATAATATTTATTCTACATATATGATTTATTTTATATTATATATTTTATAAATTATATATAAATAGTTTTTCACTCTCTCTTTTTCTCTTTTGCTATCTGTCTATCTATTTGACAAAATAAGGAAAATTACATTTTTGTGAATAAGATAAAAATTTATAAAACAAGCTTCAAATGTTTTCATATTTTATACGATGCAAATTTCACTTGCTGTCGCAGAGTTGAAGAGTTAAATGCATCCGAATTCGATTTCAGTAAATATACGCTGTACAGTGTGCCGTTTTGAAATCATTTTAATTGCACACGCACTCGATCGCGTGCGATTGTTATTGGTCAATAATCATCATCAGCCGGCTTACATAACGCATATATCGATCGGCATTCTCGCGGGCAATTATGAATTCTCTATATGCGCCATTGTATATAGTACGTCTATGTGTTTCGGTCCGTTAATCGCACAGCCCATACACAGTTTGGAAAATATGTCAGATATACATACCAAACGTACAAAAGAAGAATAACAGTTATTTATATGTTTTATGGAACAAAAAATATTCCATTTATTTTAAATGATACTTTTACCATTGTTGCCAATTTTAAAGGAAACGATAGAGGTAATTGGATCGCGCAATGCGTATCAAAATTCTGTCAAAATTTGAAACTGTATGTTATTTATAAAATAATAACAGTATCAAGCCATATGAAGATCGCAATTTCACATTAGTTGAACACAACTGTGCGTTGTTATAAACAGCGTCATTACCGTGCTCATGAATGCCAAACAACAGCGTTAAACCATCACGAAAATGTAACATTTTAGTAGCGCTGTATTTATTAAAAATGATTGTATCTTATTTGTTATTTTTAATGTAATATGAGTGTTCCAATTTTAATGAAGATGAAGCAAATGTATAAAAATTTTTACACAATTTGAAATAAAAATTACTATTATTATATTAATATGCGGAGATTGGTATTCAATATATGCATCATATTATACAATCCTTTTCTTTTTATTTCTCTTTTGTGAATTTATGCGCCATTTTACGAAGAGCCATCATCTGATATACAATCACAAACATGGTTGTTTTCTTTCAAGTGGATTCGTGGTCCACCAGTATGCGGATATGGAGATTAAAAGACGGCATGGTATCTTGTAACATCGTAAACGAATATAGGCCCCGAAAGAGATTTCTCGTATAATTTATGCTGTAAAATTTATAACGGAAGACAGTTATAAATTGTATAAGTAATTTGACTGGCCATTTTAAAAAGCAGTTTGTTAGCATACAGTAAATTTGGAAGTCATTACAAATATATTAGTTATCTGATATGTTGACAAGAATAACATAAAATAAAAGATAAAGAAAAAAGGTTTAGTTTAAAAATGTTATAAATATAATTTTAAATAAATTTTAATATAAAAATGTATTTTATAAATTTTATTTTTTGCTTGTAAGTCTTTTAGATAGGTAACTCATTTATAAGTGACAATACATGCAATATCATAATTAGCTTTTTGTTAAAAATTAAGTTACAATGTTTTTATTTGTTATTTATTTATTACAAAGAATTGAGGAAAAGATGAAAAATTCTAATAATTATATTGAAATTTGGAAAATGTACTCACTTTATAGAAATTTAAATATATGCAAAAAATCAGTTATTAAATATTATTAAATATTATTAATATTACACAATATTAAAATTATATTATACATACACTATAATTTCTCTTGTCAACGTATATCGAAATGAAGTACTTGTAAGAGGATGCTGACGCCATCTTTTCGTTGAATAATGTACCGTTTGCTTTTCTTCAACTTTTATAGTATATCAGGTTTCTTTATTATATTGAATAATGTACATATCACATAATTATGAGACATTAGAGATTATTAAGATAATTTTGCTTTCTAAAATTTTATTTATAACAGAAAGAAGGCTGAGAGTGGACGTGCATGTTTTAGTTGAAACCTGTTTACTGGCGCCTCTATGTGCGCAAAGTGTGCACGTTGAACTATGTAGACGAATATATATTTCCGGTGGGTAACACATCCACACAATCTTCGATTTTATAATTATTTGATTCTATTCCGTACTGTGTCCACAGAATATGAATAGAATAATTGCATATAACAATACAGTATAAAAATATCTAAAAATTGAAATAGTTTAACTTTGGTAAAGACAAAACCGTAAAAAAAACATGAAGTATATTTGAATAGGGCTTTTATGTAAAAACTTTATCAAAAAATAAATACAATGGAAAAAATCAAATATAATGCCATTGCTAATTAGATATTTATTAAAAACATAGTCACGTCCAAGATTTCTCTTTGTTTAGAAATTAATTATTTAATTATAGTGCATAAAATTATATGGTCCATTTTGAACTAAATTATATCTTGCTCAATAGATGATTTTACAATGAATTTCTAAGAAAGTAGAATTTTCTTTTGTTGGTCATTGATCATTTAAAAATTAAATATTATTTGTTTCAATGCAAAAATTTATTTAACTTAGATTCAATATAAGTGTATATACTACAAACAAAAATATTAACAATAAAACTATATTTACTTGATAAAAACAATCTCATATATGACATTGATGATTGAACAATTATAACATCAATTATTTAATCATTTATATATTATTAGGATTTATGTATGTACATGCTCCATTTGTTGAGTGTATCAACACTATTACACATATACAATATAAAAGACATTTTCAAATTTCTGTTACATTGCAAGTATAAGTTATGTATATCGCTTAATTGTAAGTTATATTACAAAAGTATTTCTGAGTATATATAGTCGTTGACACATGCTTAATTATCTGTTTATAATAAATACAATTACAGTTCTCTCTATAAGTAGCACTTACTCAGCCTTACAGTTTTCGGTTTAAAGTTTCGAAATGCGTTATATAATAATTCTTTCGAAAGTATAAAAACCATCGAAACTATGCACAGCCTTAAGACATTTGTGAGCATCGTGTTATGGAATGTATAATAACACGATGACTGATACTTATCTTTATCTGATATTTATCAAGAAATATTCACAACGACTTTCGATAAAGCAACGCTGACATACTAACATCGCCATGTCTTGTATAGACTGAGTTGTGTGAATATATTTTGCATTGCGTATTTTCGAAAATTGTCCAAACGTAAATCAATGTTGAAGTTGAAGCTCCAAGTGGATCATTTAGAATTGGCCTTGGTATTAAGTCTTGAAATGAAGTCCATCGCCTGATTGTCTCCTCTTCGATGCTCCAATGCGCGAATGATATCCATATCTTTAAATTAATATGAAGTTATATTTAACGTATAGATGAGTAGTATGCATATGTATATGTACTTATATGAATATTCGATATAAATACACGCTTCATATTATTTTTTTTAAATAAAAAAATTAAGAATATGATATCATTATTATTCGAGAAACTCGAGAATTTTTTGAAATACATATAATGAAAATTTGTGTATTATTTTATATCATTATTACATACCTTTTTTGGTCGGTCGAGAAAGTTTCAAATGAATTTGATTTAAGGTTTCGAAGCCAGTTTCTGGTTCAGTATCAGGAATCTCATTGAACGGTAGGAAAGCTTCAGCCATAAATCTTGCTCTAAGAAAGTCCTTGTCTTTTACCTCAAATGCCACTATAGCATTCTCTATGGCTCTTTGTTCCGGAGTAAGAGGACTGCAAATGTTGAAATTATTTCATAAATATTTTATTCCTTATTTTTTACTTTTACTTTATATCTGTAGTAATTTTAAAGTAATAATAATTAAGTATACATTACTAACATGTTAAATGTTTCATCAAAAAGGGGAAATTGCGTATCCTTCTGCACGTGCGTCTTTGGCGCTTTGATCTCGACAAATTTTTCCTCAGGCAGTAATTTGATCTTCACGTAGGAATCACACTTTCCTGTAATCAACATAGGAAACTCATATTTCACATGACATGATTTAATATTGGAAAAAACCCACGGTGAAACTATTCATGCACGGTGAAGGTGATTATCGATGCTCTTTCACGCAATATATATTCTTATCAGTGAGGTTCATTAATATTAATTTTTTTTACGTATTAACTGATGTCAATTAATAATGTGTAAATTATATTTTTTAGATATTTGATAATTATAATTTTTTTTTAGAGAACCTCATAGATAAGAAATTACAAATAAACGATATATAAACAATATTCCGTATAACAATTTCCAATCTTTTTGAGCCAGGAAGACCACAGTATTCATTGGAGACTATTTTTCTACTCTTATAAAACGTCAATACAAATTTATTCGTGCCATGCATTCCCAAAATGCTATTTCCGCGAGAGCAAGCAATTTAATAGAGAATCATATAACAATTGATGAGGAAGAATTCCACATTGTGCTCTATGCTTTTTACATACTTGTCTTCCCTTCTTTGACTCTTTGTTTAGATTTTGAATGCAGTTTACGCTCGAGAGTAGACAGCTTGCTTATAAAATGGCCTATAAAATCGAAAAAAATTGTCATTCTTTCTTCTGAATTCCGCGATCGTTTTTACCAGTGGTGGATATCAGATAGATATCTATCATATTTTCCATCAAAAAGATACGTATGAACGTTTTATTAATTATTGCGGTTAATTAGCTTGTGTGAGAAAATCGGTTTTGTATTATTTAATTTATTCTTGTCATCATTAGACCTTCCACTTAATTTTATATTATCTTCTTTTTGTAAAATTTTATCTTGTGTTTATTTATTTATAAGTTATTTAGCAGTTTAACAATATCCTTATTGCTTTCGCAAATATTCATTTTATTCCATTGCGTATAAGAAATCCTGTTAACGTCTTACATTTCTTTAAAAAATTTTATTATACTCACCATTGCTATCTGTGCAACGGAGATTTCTAGCGTTTAAAATCTGTATGTTCAATGAATTATCAAGGAAATATGCTTTGAGGCTGACAAGACCATAAACGGATTCTTCCATTTTCTTCTGTTCCTCCATGCGTTCCTGATGATAACGATGTATGAGCTCGGCAGTTTCGAGTCCATGTAATTTTAAGAGACGTTTGATTTTCTCTAAAACTTGCATATTTGTTGTTTCATCGGCTCCGAGATTAAAGAATTTGATGAGTGTTTGGAGAGTTTTATCTAAGTTCGAATAGAATGCTGGTGGTCGTCGTTTCTGTAAGCAACAGTCATCTTATGAAACACTGAAACTCTTTATGATGAGAAAATATAATATGCTTGTGTTCTTGATATTTACTTCTAAATTGATATTGACTAACTCATACAACGTTTGCGATATAATTTCCCAAATCACTAGGAGAACTCTGTTAAAGTTGTCCTCGTTGAGATTATTATGTAAAGTTTCCAGATTATTGTCCAAATACTGTAGCAGACGATCCATCGCGTTGCTGGTCGTGTCAATTAATTCGGCACCCTCCTTGAGATATCTGAAAAAAAATAAATTTCTCATCAGGATACTTTAAAGTTTAAAACGTAATTAAATTGAAAAAAATTAGTTGTATATATTAACTGTTATAAATTGTCTTACAAATTGTTACAAATTAATATCAATTTACTTAAAAGAAAGTGACATACATTTTCAGTTGTACTTACCTATTCATTGCAGGAGCCATTTTGTTGGCTACAATTTCCAACAACTCTATGATCTTGTTCCTCACAGTATCTGTGGCGTTGTCAATGATAAGCTGAAGAGTCTGTCGGCAACGAGCAGCCTCCTCGTGAGTCTTGTGCTCTCCTAAAGCATCTATAATTTTCTCTAATCCCAAGTCCATAGCCAGCGGTGCTATCGACGTTCTGATATAATCGATATTATTAATAGCAAAGCACCAGGCCGTCGATATTGCAAATCTTTTTTCGTAGACGCTACTTTGCGAGAGTTGCTCTAATTCCGTTGTCATCTCCGCTTTTGCTGCCATTTTATCAGCATATGCTATGGAACATTTACAAATGTCCTGCAAAATAAATATTTTATTATAAATTGTTTAAATTTATTATTATTATTCTCAATCTCTGTGCATATAATATCAAGTTAATACATACTGTACGTCAATTATAACTTAAATAAGTCAAAATTGTCAAACTTACGTCAATAATTCTCGCTATGAATGTATAGGAACCTTCAACGTCAGGCCACGCTAGCTGCGTCCAAAAAACTTTAATTTGATAGAATGTCGTCAATGTATCTACAGCGCTTGAACTATACTGAACGGTGCTGGAAACTGCTTGCAAAGTATCAATTTCGACTGCTCTGTCGATGCGTTGAAGTGCTTTATACACTGCGATTTCCAGCCAATGCGCGACACCGCCCTTGAACCAATCGTAATAATTTTGTATCTTCATATTCTCTAGCTCTCCTTCGGCACAAAGTCCCTGGCCAAGTCTGTAAGTTGTATGTTAAAATAAGCGAAATGTTTGAATGTTTAAGTAGATAAATTTTGCAGAACTGTGTGAACTCACTTGGCGTATCTTTGAAGCGTAAGGTAAAGCTCGAATAGAGTCGTGCCCAAGCTCAATTCCGCATTGTCAGTGCTATCAACTTCAATTCGTTTCAATCTGGCGCACACGTCCTCTATAATGATCGTGCACATATCACTGATTCTCTTTTCATACGCAATATACATCACTCTTGCGTATGGAACGTTGATTTCCCTAAAAAAAAAATTGTGTAATTAAGGCTTACGTTATTGAATACATAATTATACTCTGTATGTATACAATATCTTACTAAACAGTATGACTTACTTTATGAATAGATTGTGATAATAATCAATAGCTTTCTGTAAATCTGCTCTAATCAATTGAATTACTTTAATATGATATCTAAGCGCGTCTTCATCCGATTCTGTCTCAGGCGTATTATTGCTTAGTATATGTTCAAACCTAGAACATATTAAAATGTTACTTAGTAAATTAGTTAAGAACAAAAAGAATAAAATATATTAAATTTATGCGCTTTGCTTTGCTTACCATTCAGCGCAACTTTGTGTAATAGTGTATTCCAAACCTTGGAGTATGTCTACTTTTAAATCATCAGTTTCAGGGAACCAAAAGTACATCTTGGCAGGAAAGAGATTGACATCTTCAGGAATTTTCAGAGAGGATACAGCTGACAGTACCCTAAAATAATCGAGATTTATTAAAAAATTTTATTTTAATAATTTGAAGCATTTCTTTCTATACATTCAATATAGAAAAGCATCCATATTAATAGAATTACATGTTACAAAGTCAATAAAATTGTATAAGAATATAAATATTACCTTAACATGCAAGTTAATTGTATTATCGTATTTTTGTCTCCCAAAATCAATTTTCTGATTTTTCGTATGCTGTTTAAGCATGAAAATACAACTTTCTTCGTAGCTTTCCAGAAGAGTTTAATTTCCTCAATGGAGAACAGACCGCTGTCTATTGGTCTGAACAAACTGTTTGCTATAATCTTATTAAAGACTGTAAAACTTAATGGATGCTCCTCGTGGATTCTTGCGTATTCGACCCATTGTGCCAGGGCGACATTTCTGGCTAGTAAGCCACGTTGTGCGCTATGTTGAAGAATGAGCGCTTCGGCAGGTCCTGACCAACGACCACACCAACAGTACTTTTCGATTTTTTCCGTTTCAATCTCATGAAGCAGAAGCACTCTTAGCAGGTGCCGGTGTTCTTGTGCGGCCACTTGTGCATTATGTTCCGCGCTGAAGGCCAGTCGGAGCTTTATGACGCCACGACGTTTGGACTTGTTTTTCTTGTCTAGAGAGTACCACATAGTATGACCCGTTGTTGGTATATCCTAAACAAATAGGAACAAAACATATGTTTACTATTAAAAAGATAAATACAATATTAAATGCAATATATTGATAAAAATAAAAAAAATATATACATATATATACATATGCTTTAAATTTTTTAGATTAAATTTTATATTACCTTCAACGGTATCCGACATCGTCCAATGAATTCATTATTGTGACTACCATGTGTAGCCGTTACTGCAATTTCTTTGGCTAATTTTAATAAGCCACGAGCACCTTTAATGTCTTTAACTTTACTTATTTTTTCAGGCACAGTTTCGGCAGGATCAAAATCCCTAGAGAATGCATAAGATAAGAATATATAATAATTTATAATTTATAATAATTAATAATTATTAATTTATTATACAGAGCAATGTGTATAACTTACCATACTTCGAGAGACAAGATATCATTTTCAGGATCCTCCAATGGCCTAAATAATAACATATATGATATAAAATGAATACAATATGATAATGATATCTAATAGAAAATTTTCAAATTATAAAATAAACTTAGATCTTGACTATTTCAAACGCAGTATTTAATTAATTTTCTATATACAATTAATTAAACTAATGAGATATTAAAATATTAAATATGTTTATGTCCTCTTTAAAATATTTAAACAAAATTAATAAACTCTGTCACAAATTAAAAAATATAATGCGATATATTAGAATAGCATTGCTTTTACAAAAGTAGGAAAATATATGTTTTACTCACAATTCAAAGTGCTCTTCCCAGATTGGACTTAATGTACATGTCTTCACGGCAGTAGTGTACCTTTTGGTAGGTGCTGATTCGAGATAAAGGGCACAGAAAGGATCACTCTTGCCATTAGAATCTTTAGAGACTAGTTCTCTAGCTTCGATTATTTCAATGTTAAGATGTAATTCTGGTGGCTAAATGTGAGCAATAACATTTTTAAATGCATATATTATAATGAAATTATAATGTTATGTAAAATAATTTTAAAAATAAATTACCTCAAGATTTCGCATTTGTTCCAATACTCTCTCGTGTGTTTTATTATCAACTTTGAAGGCATTTTGTAAATGATTCAAAAGAGTTTCTTGGCTACATTCTTTAGTAACATCGAAGCCAATTTGATGTTGTGTCATATACACTAGCGCTGTATAGAGCTCTTCGATCTGTAGACAAAATACATTACGAATAACATTAGTTATGAAAAAGCTGAGAAAATTTTTTGAGAAGTATGTTATATATATAATAATTCACGAAACTGATTAAATTGTACGAATTGTTACGAATTTCTTTTAAAAATTCGTAAATGAAGATATCTGTAGCAAAAGAGTAGATATTTGTTTATTCTTACATTAATATTAGAAGATTATTTTTTTATCAGTTGCTTTCTTTAAATTATTTATAGATAATTACTATTATATTGATTAGCTTCGTGAGTCACTGTATATCTGTATATAACGACAGTACAGTGCATATATATATACATATAACATTTTGAATTAATATTAACAATTGATTTTATATTTTATGTATTTTGCTTTGTTTAATTAATTAAGCCTAGAATAACTTTTATTACCAAATTTTTAAATTACTTTTTAATCATAATAATATAATTTGCCAAATGATTAGGTAATTTTGACCGCTTTTTCGAATCTTTGTTGAAAGTATCATTACTCATTAGTAAGTCAGAGTATAAAATCTTTAATTGAAATATCCATATATATCCCATTTAAATTCTAAGTAAACAAAACATTGTCTAACATTTTGAAACGAATGTTACAATGAAAATAATGCATACATAATATAAATTGTGAAATTAAACACGGAAAGAACGATTTTGTTGAAAGACCTAAAAATTTTGCTAAAAACAGATCTGAAAATAATTTTTTTATTGAATCACCAAAATAATTTGTTGGAATGTTAAAACTAATAAGTATTGCTATAAAATGTTTTGCTATTCTAGCAATCATTTTGACTTTCGCACAAAATAATTTTGATTATTGGACAAAAATTATTTTCAGATCTCGATTCAGCAAAATTGTTCTTTCCGTGAAGAATTACAATTTATGTCATATTTATATACATATATTGTGCTGTATATACAACATAAAACACAATTCAAATTCTTTTAATTGTTAACCGAAATTAAAATTTACAGTTTTAAAATAAAATTACATTAACTTACATTTTAATATTTTTTTAGAATAAGGAAATTAAAACATTTTAGAACAATAGAAATATATAGATGAAATAAATATTCAGCATTTAAAGAAAAAGAAATATAAAAATCAACACTAATAAAATTTTTCATGGAAATATTAATATTTATCTTTCCCTCTCGAGTAAATAATAACTTTATGAATTTTCCTCATCATTAATCACAACCGTCCGGCATAATCAGACTCACCGTCATGGATTGCAATAGCGCATTAGTCCTACGTTCAATTTCAGCCTTTGGCACTCCACAAAATGTATTTCTCATACGATTGAGAGTGGCTGTCCCTATGGGCGGATTTGTGCTCACCATATTGAACCTCATATAGTTATTCTCACTTGTCGAATACACGAATAACATTTACAATCACACGGACTGTCATATCGTCACATTGGATTACACATTTAACGATTTTCACGCAGTTCTTCCGTGACTCGCACGATTTGTGTCCAACGCAATCATTATTAAATTTACGGCCGAATCATAATTCTTTTACTTTAAGCGACACTTTCCTTCTAGCCGGCAATTTCCTTAGACGATTCGTCTCGAACAGCTGCGACTACGATAACGGACAAGTAGATCTAGCGAAAAGGAATCTAGAACGGCGCGACAATGACCCGTGGAGATGCAAGACAGAAGATCATGTTGTTCGGTAAGAACAATGAACGTTCATGCACCAGTGGTCCTGGCTTCAATTAGACGTTGAACCTGCTCACGCAAACACATTCGGACCTTGCGTGAGGATAAAGAATTCCGCGCACTGACCCCGGTACACTCACATTCGATGGGGGGGACAATAAAAATTTATTGCTTTAGCCGATGATAATTTTCCGAGAGCATTTCATGCGCTGCTGACGACGGAGAGAAGGTTACCAATTTATCGCACGCGCGATCGACGAATTTCATTGCGGTATTAAACGCACTTCGTCGGCCAAAGATGAACTTCCACGGTGGCCACGACCTCTCTTATCGACAATACGCCGAGTCGTCGTATATTCAATCGTTCGTATGCATAATCAACCGATTGCCATCAACCGTAGCACGCATAAATCATGATGTTATGGAATTAGTCGATAGTCAAAGGATAGTCTATGATATGAGCATGCACGAGTATGCCAATTGAGAGCGAAAGACAAGCTTAGGATAAGATTATCGTTATTAGTATTATATCATATCTCATTATATCATATCTTGTAATTTTAATTGTGCACGATATATATGAGTTGAGAATAAATTATTTTTGTAGCATATATATATATATATATAATATTTAAAAGAGAAATTTCCTTGAAGACAATCTTTATATGTATTTCTGATAATTAAAATTTTATTGTTAACTTATCGCATAAAAACATGTTATTAATAGCGTATATTTTTTAAGGAAACAGATAAATTTTAGCCACAATTTGATAAATTTTGGATTGTTAGTAAACACTGAACGTTTTTAATTACATCATATGTTTTACTAACAAGTTAAAATTATATGATGTGAAAATGACAAGCTTTATGTTATGTAATATTTACTACTATGTAATTTTTATTATTATTCAGTCTTACATTGCTATTTTAATGCAGTTTTTTAGCATTTTTCAGTGCACTTTTAACAGAAAGTTGATCAGTAATGTGACATGTGTGCCTAAAATATGTAATTCCAAATTGATTTCAAAGAGATAATTTCTAAATGAACTATCCGTACATTTACTGTAATATTTTTTACAAGAGTAAAACATTATAAACACTTTGAAGACTTAATATAGATATTTACGTGGAATAAAATTCGAAATTATTGTCATTTCTATAAATAATTAAAAAAAATTAAATTAAACATTTCTAATAACTTTTATATATCAATTTTTTATTATAGATGTACATATATATTTAATACATTTTATATTATTACAATAAAAACTTACATTAATCGATGCTACATCGATTAATTATTTATTAAAACTTTCTAATATAATACTTTACATGTTACTATCTATATAGGAATTTTTTATTTTTAATTAATGTTAAGATCGTGAAATTAAGAATTTTGTATATGGTGAGACCAGAGAATTAGGGCATAACCTTCAATATCAATGTCCATTGGCAAATATAGTTGCCAAGAGCAATTGACTCTGACAGTGAGATTACGTTTGGATTATGTTTGTACTGATAAAACGAAATCTGCTATTGAAAATCATGAATATTTAGTACATATATATGTATTAATAAAACTTTTATTTTTTAAAAATTTCTTTACTGTAATTTTTTTACGTCATTTCTTTTGAATATTTTTTTATTGTGTTTCACGATGGCTGAACAAAAGATTCTCAGGAATGAGCATCGCATGATTGCGTGTGTTAAATAGCATGAAAACAATCGGCGAATCTGGACATAAAAGAACTGTGTCGTATCCCGTTTAGTGTGACCCATAGGACAAGTGCAACCACAATGCGTTCATACGTTCGCAATTGCGTCCAATGAAAGCTGATATACCAACAATTAGTTCATTGGCCATCAAGGCACACCGAGACACCCGTTGTATGATAAGTGGAACGTATGAATGTATGGAGATACTTTCGTCCTTCATATTTTGTCTTCGTTTAATTTTCTTAGAATTATGTAATTTTAAAGACGGCCCAAATCTTTACGCCCACTCCAATACCGATTCTATTTTTCGACGAGGATGAGTTCGTTTAATACGTCAGTTATTCTGTATCGTCATAATAGTCATAATTATTACTCCCTAATACAATAATTTAGAATGCATATATTATTTTCATGTACATAATTATGTTACGATGGCTCTTAATGAAGAATTTGAATGTTTTTTAATAGAAATATCTTGCAATCAAATAATAACAAAAAGCATTGATTTATGTTTGTTTAAAAAAATATATTAAACATAAAAAAATGAGAAAATTACTACAGATATTGAAAAAAGAGATGATACTACTGTTACATTTCGTTTCATTTTTAAACTGTGTTTCTGACAATTTGCCAATTTTTCAAGAGACTATCGAGCAGAAGAAGAAAGCATTTTAACCTGGTTTTCTGAGTACTAATTTATTTTTACAACTTAGCAAATTCCAAATACTGAAGTGCTGTAGCTTAAAATTGCGTTAAACTAAATAAACTATAAAAAATTATGCTTATGTTACGTATTATCTTTACCAAATTATTATTAATTAATTGACATTTATTAATTATTTCTTCCATTATTTAAATAATTCTTTGATTTTTACTAAAGTCTTAATTTTTTAATAGTTCAGTTTAATTTTAATTTTAACTTTTTATTATACGTGCACAATTACTTATTAATCACGTTTGAATATAACTCAATTTTCACAATTAATCTATAATATTATAAAAATATTACAAATTTTATTAGTAAAATATTATTATTATTATTATATAATAAATATAATAATAATATTAGGAAAATATTTATAATTGTTTTGCGGGTACATATTTTTTTAAGAGGCATGTTCGCGACACGTAGCAAACTGTACATCACTCATTCAACTTTAGAGTACACATTTCTTGCATAACTCACCGAAAATTTAAACTATTAAAAGTAACAATTTAAAACGGATTAAAAAAGATTCACTACCCTCCTGTTTAATTAAATCACTCATTAACTGTACGTAGAAACATACGAATAACTTCACTGCGTTTCATTCTTGTAGAATCTCTTGATGTAAAATATATTTTGAGGACTGATAATGCAATGTCGAACGACAACAATTAACAATGAAGCTAAAGAAGATGATCAGGATAATCAGCGTGAGAAGACAAGACAGGAACTTGACGGAGGCGAGCACCACACTGCCAGGAATAGATGGACCAACAGATCAGAGTCGTCGTACATCGACTAGACGACTTTGTATTAGTGCATTTGCTAACGCACGAACACGTGGGTCTCATTTCAGATTGAGTTTAACTGCTCGATTAAGTATAAGGCATAACACCCCAGTGTGCAGAGGGTGTACATATAAAGTATTATTATATTATAAAAATTGTGATCGATTTTAAATCAAAGTTTGACGTTAAACCTCCAGAATAAGGGATTGTTTCTTGAATCAATAAAAATTTATCAGAACGTTTTATTGCGCATGACATCATGCAAAATAAATATATGAAAGAATATATTCTATAGATTAATGAACTTCTTGTGATAGAATTATTTGCAATTACGGAATAAAAAATAAGATGTTATTCTGCAAATTGGGTATAATTTGCATATATGTACATTAAATAAATATTTTTAAATTGAATATGGATTGTAGTGTAAATGACAATAATGTGCTAATAAAATAATTAGACGATGCCGGACTTACGTGCTCTTTGTCCCTGTCCATTTTAGGGAAGAGTGGTTTGTTGAATTCAGTCAAGACCATTATTTTAAAACAAATCGACTTAAAAATAAAATTGAACGGGGAAAATTATGGCAGCGTTTCGCATGGCAACGTAAGGGAGCGTCTAACTTCGACTACCTTCCCTGCCAGACTGAAACCTTTGGAAAAATCAATATCGTGGCCGTTCAATTATGCCTCAGGACACACAACAACGTACAGAAAATATGAAGTTTCGATCCTACGAGAAAGAGCTTGAATCATGAATGTCTACTATTATGAATATTAAAAAATTAATAATCTGTTATGCAATAACAATCGAGAAAATACGCTTCGCCTAGAATCACACATAACAGGTTTATAAAGTAGCTGCATCATGCATAGTTATGAAGTTGACGACAAAATAACGGGATATATCCGTTTAATTTATCGATGTTCTAAATCGATCAAATTTTAATGTCTAAATTGTGCCAAATTGTTGTTCTAAATAGTTAGGTTTTTTTTTCTATGTAATGCTTTGATTAATAGTCAGTAAAATTTTTCTCAAACGTTTGTACGTTAAAAATATAGATTAATGATGAAATATGTATATACATTTTTTACAATTTATTTCACGAGAAAGTTAACGCAATTATAGCATCCTAAGTTCGTTTCCCATGACGACAACTCTGTTCTGAATTATGCAGTGTAAGTGAGCGTTATATAAAAGTTCTTCGGAATTACGCAGAGCCGTTTTGATCTTAAACAGACTACCCGTTATCTATTGACGTAGGTGATGCGGTAGGGAGCTACTCGAAATATTTTCAGGCAATACTCCGTATGCTGTTAGCGTGTTGAGAATTCGTTCTCTTGCCGAAAGTAGTCATTAATATTCCGAAGAGTAGACGATGAAATAATCTATCTCGAATTAGAATCTCCGAACGGAACGATAATATCGTTTCTAAGAGAAGATCTATTAAACTTCTGATTTTGACAGTGCATATTGATCTCCAACTCTTTATTGAAGTTGAAATCTAAATTTAGTTATTTAATTTCACCGATTGATACCTCTTATACATCCGGCTTTAAAAGAAACAACTGTTTCTTTTTTTAAATGCTATTGATAGCAGTTAGATAAAATTGCAGCGTGGCATTTTATTATCGTTTGAATAAGAATTACAAGAATTTGTATATACATTAAAATTTATCCCTCATATTAGCAATAAGTTAAGTAATTTATTACTCACATTTAAGCCCATCGATTCGGCCAAGAAATTTCGAGCATGCTCATCTTCGTCTCTGTCACTGTCAGTTTCCAGCAAGGCCTCAGTTGGTTCCTCGATGCTTTCTTCCTCAATCAAGATTTCTTCTTCTTCCTGTGCTTCATCTTTTTTCTTTGAAAGCGGTCTTTCTTCTTGTTCCTGGGCGCGAGCTTTTTCTGCAAGTAGCGTGCCGAGATTTTCAAAAAAGCCGCCATCTGATTCTTGTATCCTAAAATCAGATATTATTTCAGATTAATAACAAGTTTAATAATTTTTTAACTTTAATTATACAATTTCTTATTTTTTTAAGAATTTTTATTAAAAATTTATTTTTTTACAGTATTGTAACTTGTAGATATATATTTCTTTCTACAATGATATTAAAATAATAATAAGATATTTTTATCTAATACAGTAAACATTGTTAAAATAATTTCTAGTGCATACAATTATTAGAGCATATTCTAGTCTAGTGCATCTAATGAAGTTGATGTTCAATGAGCGAATATATTATACATTTAAGTGCATAAACTTAATGTACTTCTATTCTATTATATATATAATTTACATTTACATAAATAATTTAATAAACTTAAATATAAATTAACGTTTTCAAACGTCTTGCTAATTTTATTATTATGGTTATTCAGAAATTAAATATTTATCAGTGGGATATTTAAAACAGGTAAAATAAATATAGATAATGGTTTTGGGAAAGAAAAAAGGAAGAAATATGTGGAAAAGCTTTTAGGAAATATATCAGATGAAAGCACATACATCTGCGTGAATACAAATTATTGAAAAGCATAGCACATGGCTTCAAAAAAAACGCATAAAATATCGCAATGTTATTGTGCTAAAACGCAGTGTAAGCTCTTTCATCAGTGCACATTCCACACACATGAACCTCTCGTTTTCACCTTTTATTAAGAAAGTTGTGCGCCGCAAATTTCCAATAGAATCTCGCGACGGTCACTTCTTTCGCTTCTGGTTTTTGAGACATTCGTAAAGCGGCGATCGCATAGTAAGGATGATTCTCGTCCAGTTTTTCAAAATGCGCCATTTTCCTTTTCTTAGTCCTTCAGCAAAAATACAACACGTCTTCTAATAAAAATTCACGTAGGAAAAATCGCGTTATATTGTTAAATAAAAGTTCTCGTTTTCTATTTCTAAACTTTATTTACGATTTGTCTTCGATAAATCTAGACTAATAAAACTTTGAACTCGTACACTAGACTTATAATAAAAAAATAATTAGGTACATTAAATTATATGATCTCTTTCGTTAAAATATTATTATTGCTCATTTAACAAAAAATACAAAAAATATATGAATAATTGTTTTAATATTGTCAAGAACGTAATAAAAAGTAATTGCCTGACATCAAAGACTTTTCTATTTAAATTAAAAATGAATTTATTATAATGAATATAATTTTACAGAATTGAAACTGAGTTATGAAGCTAACAAGTGAATCTTTCACGGAAAATTTAAATGCTTTCTTTACACACATTCGCACTACATATTCAACTGCACTTCGACAGACTGCAGAATATAACACTTCTTTTGATAAGACACAACGCGATGCACTGTGACATTAGCAAATATCACTTTCGAAGAACTTTTCCAGGCAATATAACATGCAAGAATCAACTATGACTGAAGCGAATTGAACGTTTGTGCTCACATTTCAGTATGCTGTATTGTTTGTCTCAAGCCACTGAGTTATCTTTCAGAATATCCTCGTCCCGCGGCTTCGTTCATACTGACTATCACAACAATGGCTTGGTCATATAAAACGGAAACTTAATTACACAACGTTCTTTCCCCTATTACGGAGAAGGATTCCCGGATTCTCACATAAGATGCGAGTGACTGACTCAAAGTTCCCATGTGCGCAATTATTTCAATCAAATTGGTTCGTTTAGATTCGTTAGATTCGTCACATTAATAGTTTCGGAGATATGCATTGGTCCATGTCTGTTTGCAAACTGAATAAGGATTCGAGTGGAAAACAGGTAGCAAGTAGGTAGTAAGTAGGAGGAATCAGGATATGCGTGGGGTTTGATTACACAAATAATTAACAAAGATATTGTTGGAATATCTGTTATTTGCGATGGTTTGAACAAGCATATAATTATAATTGTGCTCATTATAGTAATAACCACGCAATATTTATATGTATCTGTAAAAGATTCGTTAATCTACAATAGTTAGTCTCATGCGCTGCAGAATTATGCAATATTTTCAATTATGTATAATTTATCAATTTTTTAATTTCAGTATTTTTTGAACATTTTTTAAAAGAATTTGCGAATGCATTATGTAATCATAAATTCAGGCAAATTAGCAGGTACATGCAATCAGATAAGAACTTTACAATCGAGAGATAAGCACGAATTAATTTATAACGTACGTACGCTAAATGCTTATTAAGCTCGGAATATGGAATTTATATTACCTTGTTTATCGTTTACTCAAATTAATTTCAGGAAAGTCTACACACTTACGTAAGAGAACAAATGACAAGAGAAAAACATTTTGATTTATTTCAGTTGATCTATTAGCTAGTTGATTAATTAGCTGATTAATTAACTCTTATCAAACTAATGTACTTGTTATTCGAAAGATTGCGTAACAGAGTAAAACACAATTAACAAATTTAATTGCTTTTTAATTAACAATTGTAAGACATTAAGAACATTTTGTCATCTAAATTTTATAACTTGTAAACAGTGCGTGAAGACAAATCGGGAAATACGTTCTCGAATTACGAGGCAAGAAGAACAAGAAATAGATGTTCGCTGACTTGCGTCACTGCATTCCTTTTTTTTCGAAGTAATGCATTGCATCCTTCTGAGCCTCTTTTATTCTTAACTGTAGAACGAAATGAATCATGGTATCGCATGCCGCTCGAGTATTCTGCGGTTCGACTGTTGTTTGAAAAATGTAGGCTTATTCGATCTTTTTCTAGCCTTTTTCTGCCATCTACTTTTAACTTCTTGCGATATGATTATATTTCAAAGTCTAAATAATCCAGTTGAACTGTCTCTCCAATTGATAATCGATTTTGACATAAATTGATCTTGCGTGAGGACCACAAATTGTTTTACATTTGATATAAATTTATTTGTTGTTTATTTGTAAAATCGATGAAATAAATTTATTACACAACTTGACGTTTTTTATAGAAATTTATTTAACAATTAAACTCTACATCTTATTCTTAGTATTATTTGGCATATAAATGTGTTTAATTTCAATCACTCTTATTATTTTATTTGCTTGTTGATCGATTTAAAATAGTTAGATATTAAGTATGTTGTATTTCAAGTTCATCCACATAATAAGTATAAAGTCTGTTGTGATGTAAGCCGTAGGCAGTCTTCAATAAGCTGAATGACCTCAAAATAATATTGCTATAGACTGAAACGTTCGTGTTTTCAATCTCAAATTTATCAATATAATATATTACATATGACGCACACATGTTATTTTACCAATAAACATAATATAAATATATAAATTAAACTGTTTTTAGTAATTTGTCGAATTCGATTTTGTTAAAAGTATTTTGGAGAGTCTTGTACTTAAGTATTTCGTAAACTTAAAATTTTAGATCTTATATTGAGTTTAAAAAGTCACAAGCTTGCAAAATCCACAACAGCACGTCGGTGTTATATAATATGTTAACGTGTGTAAAATTCTTCATTGCTTCAACTTCATAAATATCGAAGCACTTGTCAATCATTTCCGCAAACTTTAACATGTATTTGATGATGTACACATTGACGAAATCACAACTTTGAAGGTCTGAGTAAACTGGTATCGGAGAACCAATTTAGGTTTCAACGATTCTTGTGGGTCAGTCACCTAAAGCGATGATCTAAGGCGCCTTTCCACTTCTTCATCATCTTGTACTTTTCTGTCGGGCCGTCGGGGAATTCCCCGATATTCTCCACATGTGACGTGTGTGGTTTTTCTTGTAGCACCATATTATTGAATTGTGGAAACCGTGGGAAATGCAATTAAAAACAGAAATAGACGGTTATGCTTCTTAAAGAGGGTTATCGACTTCATCAGGAAGGATCATTATATAAACTATAGTTTATCATCTATATATCTCTTTCTTTTTTTTCCTATCGCAATTAATTTCTTTTTACAAAATTATTTATTTTTGTTATGATGGCCAATTTATTTTATAATAAATATGTGTATTAAATATGTATACTTGGCATACACATTTTGCTAGAATTAGAATTACAATTGTAATAAAGATAAAAATTAAATATAAGCTAAATGCTAATTATATATATATATATATATATATATGTGTGTGTGTGTGTGTGTGTGTGTGTGTGTGTGTGTGTGTGTGTGTGTAATGTAATATATACATATATTGTATAAATATATTATATACATATATATCACATAATTATTAATAAACAATTTGATTAGTAAACTTAGATTTAAATTAAATTTGCATTTAATTTAAAGTATATAAAAATATATCTCACAAACAGCACTTATATACCGGAAATAATTTTCAGTACGTGCGTTATAATAAGTTATTTGCATTAATATAATCGGATTACACCTGACCAAACTTCTTCACAGATGGTCGATTTCATGTTCCTCACGTAACATCATGCAGTTAATTGTCTCTTATAAAGACGTCAGAAGGTAGTGAATCATGTAACATCGTACCGACCTTGGACACCAGATCTCGCGGAACTGCATGTATATATAGACACACCTATATGTTTTGCATACAGGTATAGAACTCATGATCTGTTAGTTGCCACGTAGTCGTTCCTCCAATCTCCCTGTGTTAGTCTCATTCTATTAATAGATCCTACACGCCTAGTCACAGACAATATAATTTGAGGTTTTATCAATGAGTTAAGAGCACGCATTTCGTTTATCGTGGAGCATTATCATTAATCATGAAGATTTTGAATATGCAATGCATGCAGAACTCATCGTTATCGACGTCGCTCCAGTTTCGTGCCAAAAATAAGTCATACCTCATGAGTTCATTTTACTTTTCTTGATGTTATTATCAATAAAATACTATTTTGAGATAATTTAACATGCATAATTGATAAAATTTTAGTATTATAAATTTAATCAACATCGGCAGCATTGTTACTGGATGTTAAAAATAAATTATATTAATAATTAATTAAATATAATTTGTATCAACATATTCCTTCTTTATTTAAGAAGATTATTATTTTTTCAATATATTGTCATCACGTGAAAGATGTTTTCAAAGTTTGATGTACACTTATAAATGTGAGAGAAAGTATTACGAATCAATGTGTTGAAACAACGCCATGTACAAATATTATTTCAATCTTATAAATATACAATATTTTAAGTTATATTGTTATAAATAGACATTGTATTTTTGTACAAGATAATTTTATTGTTAAATAATTTTTACAATTACAGAATTACTTGACAGTATTTATTCTATTATTACTATAATCTATTTAATAATTTAAATACATTCTTTCTCGTTCAATAAATAATATAAATTTTTTGTAGGTAATTTGCAGTGTCTCTTTCGTCAAAGCCGAGATACAGAATAATTAAAAGTTAATATAAATAATAAAACGCAATTGAAATCCCTTTACCTTAGCTCGTGCTCCGATTTCTCTTGCCGTTCCTTCTCCTTTGCTAATTTCTCTTCTACGATCTTGTGGTAAAAACCTTTCCACATAGCTTCTTCATCCATCTTCGTTTGATTTCTTCGATCTCACCCAGTGAATCAGAACGCACTTATATGGGATTCAGTATCCTCCGAGAGCTTCACCGTTATTTTAAGCATGCGATTATTAACTGTATCTTATAGTTGCCGAACTTGCAGAAAATCGTAAACGTACATTAATCGCGCACTCACAGAAACATTCCTTGTCAGATATTGACCTCGTCTGCGCAGGAAACTTAAGTGTATTTCGCAAGGGAAATATATGCCGGCTGGAGTTAATGCCGGTATAGGTGCGACTAGTAAGCGTTCCATTTATTCTTGAATGAAACATGGAGCCATTCACTTTACTTTTCAGTCGCCCGGTAGATGGCACCTATTGTCAAGCCATAGAAATCATTGTCACTTCTTTTACCCGTTATGTATATTTTACAAAAACGTTACAATATTATTTTGTCTAAAAGTATTTTTGAATTTATTTAAAAACACAAATTTTTTTTTTAAAGTATTGATACGGGCATTGTATTGATCAGAGCATTTATTTCTCGTTTGTATTAAGTCATGTTTAAAATTAATTTATAATAAATTTTCAAATATATAGCATATATGTTTTATTAGTGTCTTTTAATTTATTTTTTGATTTTTTTTTCTCATGCATTTTAACGATGAATTAACTAAGTTAAGATTAATGTTAAAGAAATCAATCCTAGAAATTCTAGAATTTTTTAGACACCTTTGGTGTCTAAAAAATTAGAGTTCATTGCATATATTTATTTACCTTGGCTTACATTTAAATAAAAACGGAGCAATTAGCGTACAGAAGAAATGTTCGCTCGGTTCATTTCATCTGTGACTTATCTCTTTCGTAGATGTAACATCAGACTAATTAAATAATCATTCGAGACGCGCAGTTGTGTAAGTGACTCAACATTCGTGGAGTTTATTTTGTCATCTAAATGACATCATCTATTATCAAGGTGATCTCTTTGCAGACATATATAAAATTATCAAAGAATCACCATCAGGTGCAGAAATGTATTTCTTATGTTCTACATCACGTACGTTGTTACTTCTTCTAAATCAAAGTTTATTGCGAGAAGTTGATTCATTTTATTCAACATGTATGAATGAATTTACATGAAAATATTTCTTGTTAATACACGCACTGTGTGATATAATGGTCTATTCAGTTATTACACCTTATAAAAAACGAAGGAAATTAAAAAAATATATAATATCACTTTTTTATTTAAAGTAACGCAATTATTTAAATTTTAATTTTATTTCAATCTTTTGCGAGTTTATTTTATCGTAGGCAGTATCGCAAATGCACTCCATTACTAATTTTAGACCAGTACCTGTACGGGAATTGATTCCTGGTAAAAGCTGCTATCCAGACTGACGTCGCGATCGTTTCAGTCCTTGAACGCAGGCGCCACGTCGCCATTTCGCTTGATACTATACGTATACGGTATACATACATACACCACTGCGAATGCGTTGAAGAAAACATCAATAACGTTTCTGCGGCATTATGATACGGAAATGGGAATGCTAGCTCCAATCTTTACACCGAACATTAATTTTTTTATAAAAATTACAAATTGGTTATTGTTCCGTGTTCTCGAAAAAAAATTTTGTATTATCATTATTGTATCGTGTTATATATGAGGGAGCATTACCGTCTATTTGAACGAAAACATAAATTTTTCACTTTTGTAATATATGGCTCGCAATAAAATAAATTCAACTGAACGTACAAGAAATATTTCCTTTTGTTCGTGGGGTAAATTGCATGACGTACGGTCTGAAAGAATCTACATAAAAGCGAAACTATTGTTATCTGCGAACATAGTTAACTCAAACATGCATTGCAAATTGATTATATTGGTTCTATTCTTGATTGGTAATGTATTATTTTTAATTAATGATATATCAATAACAAATAAATTTACAATTAATAACCAACGTTTTTTCTTATCATTTTTTGCAGAGATTAATGTATTTTGTGTGACGGCGGAAAATATTTATTATAATGAAACGTTTTCCATGAGAGCATCGCGAAGAAATCAACCGGACGTTACATCATTTGTACTGGTAAATCCAAAACAGATTCAACATGCGGAAGTGATAATAAAACATTTCTTGGCGAGATTAACTGGACCAATCGCTCAGCCAATAACCCTGAGATTGTCGTCTCCCGATGGAGGCAGTTTGGCAAGCACAATTAGTGAAATAAGCAAGATTATACGTGCAAAAATTATGGAATTTGCGCAAATTAGCGGACTAACCGCATCAGTTCGTCAGTATAGGCAAACATTATGGAATTCTACAGTCTCTAAAAATTGGTTTACCGAAGGTTTTATCCAGGGATCGTTGCTGTTAAGCGATCTTATTGGAATAGGAGAAGAGATTCAATCTGCGATTATTCATTTCTTCAAAACATATAATATAACTTTATACGAGGTAAGTTCGAAAGTATCGAAAGAGAATAGATTTTATCATAAGTATTCAAAGTAAATACAATTAAAATATATATTGTAGTATATGTGATAAATTATTTATACCTTCAAAATATGTAGTTCCATCAAAAGAAAAAAAAGTTGCTTTTGGGCAAGTTGTTTATAGATTAAAATAATTATATGTGAATAATATTTACAATTAATGCTTATTTCAGGACTTATCAGCGCGCAAGATAACAAGAAGTTTTAAATTTTTTAGTACTATAAATGATGCCGCCAGTTTCAGTGAAAAATTATTTCAATGTTTGTTATCAGTAACAGACAGAAAAAATAGAAAAAATCAAACGTCATCTTTTAATCTCAATCAAATTCTTGCAATCTTAGCAAAAGATTCACCCGACAACACTGTGAAATCGTTTAAGTCCCGTGTAGATCGAGCATTCGTCCGTTCTGCATCAAGTAACGGCACAACCAGTGAACAATTGTACATGCTGCTCTGTCATTCGCTTGTTGAAAGGGCCAGTCATTACGGCGATTGTATCAAAGAGTTACAACGTTTCGTGACTTGCGTGTCATCATCGGGAGATCAAGGCTCAAATGAAGCAGTCGCTCATCATAGATTTTTTGTCAAACCATGGTTAGCCGTTATTGAAAATCTGAGTGGATGTAAGATTTATGTCGACGAAGATGGCAATGCGAGCATTCGCTGCGATTTCCATAGAACACTGCCGAGGACTACAGCGCGGCAAGTGAAATATATTTACGAGCAAATTTTGGATCAACGAATACCTAAACGATCACCTCTTCATCGTATCGCGAATGAGCTTGGGAATGTTCTTTCGAGAAGCAGATGGGGAAGACAATTCACGTACGATGTATGCCAGTACTTTGCGATTTATCAGGAAGGCCACAGGAGGTTGAATACGCTTTCGAAAAGTGCCGCTAAGGACAAGAGAGCGGCTCTGAGGTTTAATGATATTTTAATAACCCATGTAGCATTTATTAATCTTTATTATACATGGTAGTTTGTATCATAATTTTATTATTAATATTTAAAATGTTTAACTAAAAAACAGTTTTTTAAATTAACGTAAATAATCATTTTAGATACAAGAAGATGTTTGTATCATTAAATATATATAAAAATGGAGTATTAAGAAAAACGATGCTTACTGTTGGAAACTTTCATCGTTCTGCGTTAGAGATGCAACAATTTCTTGTTCACGGTATTAAAAGTTCTCTTGGGGAGTCCTGGCGGTACCATTTTAAAATTCTCCTTTGTTTATCTAAATGGATGACAAAACTTTTGGAATTATTTGGATGCGCAAATTTAAGTGATGCAGACACCGACACGTCGACTTCTACTTATATTACGCCAATTAATATAACAGATTCAGATAGCCAAAGTGAGGAATATGAAAATAGATATCTCGTGATATATTCTAAGAAAGATCGTAAGTATTTATATTAATTATAAATATCTACATACCAATTATTATATCTGAGTCTAATTTTTTTAATTGTTAAAAAAATATGTTAATTTAATGAATAAAGCAGTTTTAATAAGTAATATATTTTTATTTTTATTTATTAATTTTTATATTAAATAATTCTAAATTTACCAAAGAATAATTCGTAATGATTTTTGCAACAGTAAAATTATAAATTAACAGTAAATTTTATAAATTAATTACATTTATATATTTCTGCAGAAATAAGAAAGGAGGCCGATAATATTTTTGAAGAACTAATGCGTTCAATGAATCGTATAAGCAAAATGCGAAACCGAAATAACAGGAGTACTTTAGCATGTCTTGCAAATAATTTGCTACTTGTCACTATGTTCATGGAAACAATTAGTTTCGTTTCTACATTATTCTGTTTGGGAGAGCATAAAGATGAATCCAATCTCGAAGAATTGGCGGAAGTATGGCAACCACCTGAACATGAACGTTAATAATTTTCTTTAAAAGATTCTGTCGGAATCGAGTTTAAAAAAATTTCTCCAATAACCTTTAAAGAAATTATCCATAATTATGTAAATTCTATTCTCTCTGTAAAAAATATGTTTATATAAATGTAACAAATAACTCTTATTGTTTAATAAAGACTACTTTAAAAAGCGATGAATAATTTGTTAAAATATGTTGTTAAATATGCGATATGTTGTTAAAATAATTATATATGTGCATATTGTTAAAGCAGAAAAGTTATGAAATAGTGCAATACCAACTATTTCTGCCAAAAATAAATATGTAAGGAACTGAAAACATTAAATAAAAATTATTTGACTAACAGAATATTTTCTTTAATTTATTTTTTACGCGTTTTATTTTACGTATATTATATAATATATCTCTCATTTTATTTTTGAAATTTATTAAGTATAAATTTATTATACATCAAATGTATAATATTAATTTTAAATAATTTAGTAGAAATGTTTAACTGAGTTTATGTTATACTTACACTGTATATTAAAATTACAATCGCAATTTCATGCTCCGCGAGATAACAACTCTGTGTCTTTACATAATTTCGTTGCTAATAAGTTTAACTGCTAATAAATGTGCGACTCGCCCCGACAAGAAATGATAAATTTCAAATTATTACTTTGCTTATGGCACTTACATAAATCACGTTCAATCTTGGCGCTGTTGCGATACTGTAATTGCAATAGTATCAACGCTTGTCGCTGTTAAACGTTTATGAAATATATCGTGTCTGACGTTTACAACCGCGGTAAAATAGATCGTCGCACTTTACATATGCTCGATCATATTGTATGATGACGCAGTCAGCAAAAATGCGTGGAGCACTCATTATTCTCTGTTTTGTTGGTATGAATAATTATTTATGTTATACTTTACTATACATTTCATTAATAAAACAGTTAAATATTCAATATCTTCAGTTTTCATTATATAACACGAGAAATGGTTATTTTAATTGTTATTAATACAAACCGTGCTTATATAACATTTACCATTATTTATCCTATGCTTCCTGTATTCTAGGCTTCCTGTTTGAAGAGACAGGCGGAAATGCACATAAAGCGCAACCAAAGATTATCGGAGGACAACCAATTGACATAAAATATAGACCTTTCATGGTTAATAGTATTTTTTAACAATATATCTATAGATACGAGATTTATCTATTTACTAATATTATTTAAAATTAAAATTTTTAGCTTTCTTTACATAATTTACGTGGATTTGCGTGCGGTGCTAATATATTATCGAGGACATGGGCCATCACTGCTCTTCATTGTTTGTAATAAGATTTTAACATTAAATTAATCTATTATTTTATTAATTTTTTTAATACATTAGAATTAGAGCACTAATATTTCATTAAACTTACATTGATATGAGTAAATTTATTCTTCATAATTTTAACGCTTTATTCAGATGCTTTATTATTTTCTAGAGTCCCAGAATCGCCGACGCAATATTATGTACGGGCTGGATCCAATAAAACGGATAGAGGCGGATCTGTGCATAGGGTGACGAGCATTCACATATACAACGACACTCACGATATCGCACTTTTTCAAGTGAAACCGCGATTTCGTTTTTCGAGAACCGTTCGGCCAGTTCGTTTACCAAGATCAACACACGAAACACCATTTGAACTATTAGTTTGTGGTTGGGGATACATCAATAAAGAAATTGTAAGTAAGCTAAATTTGTAATATTTAAAATTTTTTGCAGTTAATGTTTTATTTTAAATATTTTATGTTGCTTATTTACATATGTCTTTAGATTAATAAATTTTTTAAAAATTTAATTCAATCTAACGATTTAAACAACAAAATTTAAAACTGCGATATCTTAAAGAGATATATGTATCTCTAGAATGTTTGCTAAATAGAGATGCTGATGTTTTTTAAATTATTTATATTTTTTGATATAGTTTTTGAATTCTTTGTTATTTATTTATTCATTATTAGGAATTTAAAGAAAATATAAAAAGCATTAATTAAAATAATGTGTAGACAAAGGCCGATACTCTTATGGGCGTTTTCGTTCAGCACGTTCCGTACGAAAGCTGTGTTAATGCCACTTCTTCATACGCAATGCTCGTCAAAGATGACTATCATTTATGCTACGGAACCCAAGGAAAAGATGCTTGCTACGGAGACTCCGGAGGAGGATTGGCTAATGAAAAAATAATTTACGGCGTTGTGTCTTTTGGTTATGGCTGTGGAGAAGTGGCTGGCGTTTATGTAAAAATTTCATATTATCGAGAATGGATTAAAGCTGTTACGAATTTATGATTAAATATGCAAATATATATTATATTTTAAAGATTTTTTCTTCTCACAATCTTAAGTTTCAATTTCTTCCATTTCTATATTAATCAACTGTTAATAATAATAATAATAAAAGAATTTGATATATTTGAAAAATTGAACTTATAAATATGATTTGTAAATTTATAATTATTTTAGAAATTGATATATTTACAAAATTGACATTTTATTATTTTCTATATATGCAACAAATTGTAAATTATAAAAAATGTCTAGTAAAATTGTTATATATGTTACATTTTCTTCTTTTACATTTATATTGATAAGTACACGAAATAAAACTGAGAAGATTATTCAACACATCGCGCCACTAAAAGCCTCGTGTTCTCATCCGACAGGTTGAGAGTATTGTTTTCGAGAGAATAGACACAAAAGGCATATCGAATCACGGAGTCGTGAACCCTCCTGCGTTCAGGTTCGGTGCGTGCAGGAAATCCACTACATACACGTGCTGCGCAAGAGTGTCGCGCACGCCTGCACGCGGCACACGTAGCGTTCGCTCGTGCAATACTGAATAAAAGGTGTACGTGACTACGTAAAGTACGTAATGAATATTTAGTTTTACGTGATAATGATATTTCTTAATGATATTGGTTTGCATAGACTGATCATTAAAAATTAACGAAGCAGGGTTAAATTAAATATGAAATATAACGCTTAAAAAGATTGTGTGAGTGAATAGATCTTAGCAATGATATGCAGATGGAGAAGTGGTACATCAGTTTTGTGTAGAAAAGAAATTTAAGTAATATTACATGTACAGAAATGTTTATATTTTTGGCTAAAAAATTATTAATTAGAATTTTGTTAATATTAAAATTATTCTTTAACTTAAAATTATTTGCATATTGACAATCGTAGCAGTAACACGAAACAAAAAAAATCACAAAATTTCTTTTTACATATTAGAATATATTACATATAAATTAAAGAAATATAAAACAATATTTATTTGTTTTTTATGACAATTATATATGCAATAAGTTAATTATTTAAAATTTTTATTTGTCTGTAATTCAGTACATATATATTTTTTGCCGTAAACGATAGAAATGATAAAAATCATGAGATTGAGAAAATAACACGCAGCCTACATATTCTCCCGCTATTTGCTGTTTTTTCGGTCATGCATGCGTGCCTGCTACTTTCAAGCTACTATTTACTGGGATGACTCATCCACGTGTTTCCCTGCGTGAGGCGAACCTCTGTCAGGTTTTCCGCTCGCGCTTCTAAGGGTCTTTAAACTCCCCTGCCACGTGCAAACTATCAAGTGTCTCCGTAAAAGAGCGTGAGAAGTGCATTATCGTAACGGAACATCCGTCATTGGATGTGAACAGACAGACTGCTTTTACATACGGATATTACGCTATCATCAATTCCGCTCGAGATACAGTTTTAGGATAATAATAAATTTCTGTCGTCATGCCGCTAAACCTCGATATAATATGAATGTCTGCTTTGCATTATCTTTGATATGCGTATTATATATCCTGTTGCGCAAAATCTTGCGGTTTTATCATGCAACAATGCAACCAATGTTATCTCAGTATGACGCAAGAAATATTTTTTTTAGCAAAAATTCTAGAGAAAATTGTCTAGATCATTATATACATATGTTGTTACCTGATCAATGATAATGTACCGCTAATTGATACTAGCAACGAATCAGCATTATAGATAGATGTTTATATAGCAGTATGTATTATGTATGTGTATTTAAAAAGAAACCTACTAAACATTTGTAGCACGAATAATATCTTGAATCATAATAGTGTTTTATATATGACGACGTTATGCCGGTAAATCTTGATGTAATATAAAGAATCAGTGGTTTGCGTTATCTTTCAAATGCGTTGTATTATATTCTGTTGCTTAAAATTCATGTTACCCAATAATGATATTATTATAATGATAAAACAGCAAGATTTGATAATGTGATCGAGACGATACTTTCACTTTAATAAAAAGATTATGTCATCGAGATAACAATACCTATATAACCACTATCATCCCAGTATGATACAAGTAACTATTTTTAGCAAACGAAGTAAGAAAATTGTCTTAATCATTTATACATACAATATTTTGTCTGATCATCATAAACCATCATAAAATGGCATAATTTTATATACAGAAAAGAATAATTTTGCGCGATAATTTCATTATTCAAAAAAGAAGAGAAAAATTTTTTACACTCACCCATTTGTCAGTGGATAAATTTTATTACGGCAATTCTTCAAAATCTCGCGGCGGATTCTTAGAAACCATGTGTTACTGCATTTGGGACTGCAGTGTTTTTTTTCAGCGCTATTATTTCGTATACTTTTAGTGATATCGTGATAATCCACGTATTCCCAATTTGCATCGTTCAATATAACAGGCATTTCTTCTTGTGCTACCAGAACATATGAGTCCTGTGACCTAGAAGAATTCGATGTCCTGGCATCGACGTGCTTATTCTGCCGCAGACAAACATTATCCACAACATCCGAATCAGGATGCCTATCGATCAAAATCGATAAACTTCTGTCGGTTAAATATTCTTCTTTACAGATAGCGGATGATATTTTTATCTCTTCAATGTTTGTTTTCTTATCTCTTGCGCGACTTTGCTTCTTGCAGTGAACCATTGACTTTACGAAATTGCTCAACATGACTAAATTTTTTACTAGTTACTTGTAAATTATTTTGAATTTATCCTTGAATCTTCGATTTATAAATTTCTCTTGAAGCACAACTCCTATAAACTACACATATTTTTCCACACACATGCACTGCTTTGATATGTAATAGATTTTGTCTTGGTATCATCACATTACGATAATTTGCAAATGCCGGATATAATTGCGATTTACTAACTAGAAGGTCCTGGGCTAACGTCGTTCATTTAGTACGCGACCCCTACGAAGGAAAAAGTGGTACTGAACGGTCTCTATGCTACCAAGTACACATTCACTGGGGGATCTCAACTGATTGTGCACGCGTTTGCAAAGAGAAGGGGGTGTATACATTTACTCACGCTTTCTTTCGTCATTAATGTAGAAGAACGACAAATATTTTTACAAGAAATATATTTGTCGTTATATTGTTTTTGTAATCTATTTTTACATGATTTATGTTGCAAAATTATTTTTCATACTTTAAATAAAAATTGTTATTTAATATATATATTGTAGCAATAATATATCCATTACATATTTTATAAAAATATTACGCATTATTAAAATATCATCTAAATAATTCTAAATTCTATAATTCTTAAATGTAGAAAAATATTGAGAAATTATTATATTACTATTTTAATTCACAAGTTGTTATTTCAAAACATACATAAAGATATACTTTTTAAATAATTTTTCTCTTTGTATAATAAATATTATCAATTAATTAAATAAATAATATTTATTTGTTTTAGCGGGATAAAAAAATTGAATTAATTAAATATAATTACAATGCTGCAATTATATTGTATGCAACAATTAATATTATTCTCATACTATTCTATTGAAAATAATAATGCCTAAATATTTTTTAAAAATTGATTTTAAATTTAAGTTACATGTACATTAGCGAGATTTATGCAGAAATAAAAATAAATCGTTGTAGTGAATTCCTGTGATACGCAAAAGATATTGGGAGTTCCCAAGAATTCCAAGGCTAATGATATTGCAATTTCCGGTTTAGTAGCGTTTATATCGCATAGATTGCTCATGACTGTGAGCACGTATGTAAATGTAGACGAACTGATATAACGAAATATGTTAAATACTTTCTATATATCTTATTTTTTAATTTTATACTTAATTCTCAGCTTTATGCTACACACATACACACACATTACTCTTTAAATGTAAAATTATTATTACACAGATATATATATAAATTTGCACAATAGTTGCAATGATTTGTCAATTATAATACTAAATTTATCTAGATGTTATTCTTTTACGTCGTTGCGTAATACATGTAACAGCTACATATTAATTTCATACAGGAATCATATCGTAGATAATTACTGCTGCCATTTGCATATCAAACGGTAACATTCCTTGCAATCACTGGATCAGAACATTTACGTACACAGATATTTACCCAGCGAGAAATGATTCATCGAAATGATTTCAAATCGACATCGATTCGACGTCTAATTAACGATCATTGCTTATTGGATTATTATACGTATAATCTTTTATACAGAATATTTTGTTTTATTTTATGTTTTAAAACAGAATTTATACATCTAACAAATAAAAATTTCATGTTACTATAAGATTTCTCATGCGATTTGTGTTTATTAAATTAGTTAATACAACATTTTTGCAACATATTTATGTTACATTAACATAGATATTATTACAAAATTATTTATTAATTTTGCGTAATTAAATAGAATAATTCGTACCTTTGTGTAAATTGTTATTTGATAAAAATATAATCAATCTTTTTATTCGTGAAAGTATCAAAATTATTGAAGCAAATTGTTGCGCGTAGTATAAAGACAAATATTGTTATAAATTAATTTTATTTTATAAAAGACAACACAATATAAAAATAGTATACGATAATATTATCATCACATTTTGTGCAGATAATATTATCTGCTATTATATTGTGCTTTACTTGAAATAATGTTATAATACGCTCAGAAGTATTTCGCGGAAAGTAAATTTTAATTATGTGTTCATGGAACCACAAAAGTTAAATACAGGTTCTTATATCGTTGTTACGGAGAAATTTAATTAACCTTACTTGACTCCGCAAAAGTCAACCCACACATATTACACACAATAATGTAGGAATCTACATACTCAGCTAGTAAGAGTTCACGAATTATACTTTTCCTATTGGACGGTAGTACAAGAAATTTATAATATGATTATTAATAAAATTCCATTTATTTTATTAATTTTGTATCTATTTATATTTCGCAATGTTTTGAAATGATATAATTAAAAAACTTTAAAAATGGCACTTACTCGATGCTGGACAGAGCTAGTAATGCTCGCATTGACCTCTTCGGCGGATTTTTACGTCTTCTGACATAATTTTGTTCCTCGTCATTTTTGGTATCTCTCCACCGAAACCAGGTAGCCATTTGACGGATGAAATCTGATCGCTGAGCAAGGAGTTAAGTGTCGACTGCAACCTTTCGTAGTATATTCCGCACTATCAATAGAAAAACACGAAACATGAGATATGCGGGAATGCCAGGAAATTGATCTAACACGACACGCAAACGTATGAGTACTGATGATGTAAATGTAAAGTATTGCGCTTATGTAGAAAAATCCGCGGAGAATCTGGGTAAAGCCGTAATTATTCATACAGTGCGCGTCAGTTTGTAGAAGTTAATGACTGATCTCGAGCATAATAAAAAAAACGTAGTAGTCATCAGCTACGGACAATTACGAAATATAAATACCTGTTGATAAGATCATCTAATGTTGCAAGTGAAAATATTTTAAATAGCAAAATGATGTCAAATGACGTTTCAATGCCTATTGATGTTAGAGACATCATTAAAACGTTATTAAGGCGTTATTTGACTTTTATCTTGGAATATTATAAAATGTTTCATGTACTTTTTAAAGTTTTGCAATATGTATGTTTTATATGTTTCAAAATAATTAACTAATAAAAGCTTGTATTGTTAAAACGTAATTTTTACTTATTAAAATAAATATTTTTCCTTGATGTACACGTTTAGTACATGCAGATGGCAATACGAATGAATTATCATATTTAATTGTAACGTATTTAATTTTACGAGAAAAAGTTTTCATTTATAATCTGTTGTATTATTACGCTACCGCTTTTTATATCTTCTTATATCAAGTTGTATACTTTCTATATCTTCTTTTTTGCTTGGTAAAATTTTTATTACGATCCTTTTAGTTGATAAAAGTTTGAAACTTTGGTTGATTAATTTTCATTTAAATAACGCTATAACTCTCCGTTATTCAATATTTTGTGATTTATAAAAGCAACTGCAATAATTAAATAATTAATATTAATAATAGTAATTGTGACCAAAAATCAATTAAAAATTAAGAATTATACCGTACATATTGACTGCTTAACTTGTTAATTAATATATTCTTTTGTATGACATAAATTGTAAAATTATCAATGATTTGGAGTTGTAATGTTAATTTATTATAAATTTTACATCTTATTTTATCTCGATGTAAAGATAATTCTCTATTATTGAGAAAATAATAGATTTATTTAGATAGAAAACAAAATCGTCAATATACCTATATTATTGTAATTAAATTCCGTTTTTAAGAATATATTATAAACTCTTCATATTTTATGTTTGCTATATAAAGTTATGAAAATTGTAGATAATAATTAGTTACTCAAATAATTCTTAGGTATACAATTATTGATCCATTTTCATGTTTTCTGAATATTTAAAAAATGGACAATTCCTTCATTGTTCCCTCTCACGCAGTTCTTCGTAAAGCATCGCATAATTTTCATTCGCGTAATGAAACGTTAACTACCACATCATTAAAAACGAGCACACGCTTACCGCTTTTCTTGCTCGATGACGCTATCATCTGTCCGAAATTATCTCCTTCACGCTTAAGGAGCTCGGCTTATCCCGCGCTCCGGAAACATCCGGTGTATCCTTGCCGCTCGCGTTTTCACCCTCGTTTTCAGTGGATTCCGGGCGGAAAGCTCGGTCGGCCGGATTCACGGGGGTGGATTGAGACATGCCGGGGTGTGGCCGGGCCCAGGGATTAACCCCCGCTGACAGCCAATCATATCCGAGACAGCCCCACCAGGCGGATGACTACGAAACCCGGCTGAAACTGTCGCGCTCCCTCGCCGTCCCTCGCAACAACCCCCCACCGCTAATTGCCTTGGCTTTAATATCGCATGTGGAATGAAAGCCAGAGGAGGAAGATGAGGAGGAGGAGGAGGAGGTGGTGGTGGCAAGGGTAACCAAGGCGGTGAAGAGGGACCGGGGAGGATGGTAGCGTCGGTTGTAAGGCAACAGAATGCTGTAGAGTCCAGGAAGGGAGAGGCTGCTTTGTATGTGTCGATCGCAATACCTACGTTCCTGGGCTGTTCAGGGAAGGGCTGGAAGGAGACGGAAGGGGAATGCGTATGGCATTATGCGTTCGTGAATTTTATACGTGTGTCCACGCCTGTGCGGCAGCGATTGCGCGGGTAAAGCTGTAGATCATTCCCGATACGGATTCAATTTGAGAACAATAGATAGCGCGGCTACTATTTACCGTCGAAATTGATATTTAGTTAGTTAATGATCCTCTCCACTCTGTGATCAGCAGGTATTGAGAATTGGATTAGTTTCCGCGGTTGATAGATTTACCGAACCGATCAATGATTGATGCGGACAATGTGAGGACTTCATGGACGCGACAGTCAATTCCAGTCGTCATGACGTTTCAGGATGTACAGTGTGATTTGCGAAATCGCTAACGGAATGTAAAATCCACTGGATTTGCTTGTACGATATCAATTACGTTTAATTGAATTCTTTAATTTTAATTCTTTAATTCTAATATTTCTGAAATCAGTTTATCTATATGCGTAATATAAATAAAATTAAACATGGATGATCGTTTTTTCTTTTCGTTTGTAAACTTTTTTATTAGCTCAAAATTTGCATATTAAAAACATACGCAAAAAGTTTAGTTTTAAGTGTTTTAATAAAAGTCATGAAATAAGAAATTCAAAAATTTAGTTGGTCTAATTTGCTTCATAAAGCGTTTAATCTGTCTGCATATCGAACCGAATTCGCTGAAGTGAATAGAAGTCTTCCCTGATCTTCTTTGTCTTATATATTGGCTAGTAAGGGTGGCTCTTATAAAGCGGAGCAATTATCCGGGTAAAATACTCCACGAAATTTCTGTGATAAATTTCAAGCCGTAATAAGGGTGAGTCGC